CTAGACCTCAACCAAAAGTGAGGTCAACAGTCTTTATTGGCGCTTACAAGTGTCGCATTAGTGTTAATGATGAGCAACAATCTTGTTGATGCCAATGGGATTTGGCATTGTTGCTTATAGCGAGCAATGATTTTTTTTTTATGAACATTGATATCAACGTTGTGTGTTGATAGAGTGCATCACCTTTATTGACAATAATTGATGACAATATTATTAGTGAAAAAGAGTGATCATCTTGTTATCAATGTCATTCATCTACATTGGTGTTAGCATTGGATGTTAATCTTTTTGTCATCATTGGGCCTTAGTCTTGTTAGAAATGGTTAGAAACTACAATTGGTGTCATTGCAATACATCAACTTTATTGGCAATATCGAGCGTTGGCTTTGTAGTTAATATTGGTATTGATGTTGAGTGTCTGTATTGATGATGTTTGATTTGAACTCGTTTAGATTTGATGTTGTTATTACGTTAATCAAATAAAAATATTCATTCTAAATTGAAGTTTATTTAAATCATAGTTTGGATAATTCATAAGTAGTTGATAAATAAATTCCTATATGTATATTAAGATTAATACTTAATTTATGATGTCTTATCACCACTAGTGATTATTTTGTTATGAAATTTTGAGAGCATGAGCTCATTTTTTTTTTGAACTAAATATTCAACTTAAGAAGAAATTATTTTTCATGGATGATGAACACAAATACATCTATTATCCTAATAAGAAGAGGGCAAGTAACGTGATGTGCACAAAAAAAAAGATTAATAATAATACATGAAGGTCTTTGTGCATCTACATCGTTAAACAAATGTAATATCTTCTGTCAGGAAACACACCCGTGGTGATGCTTAATTTTTTTTCTACAATCAACCTCTCTTTTAGTGGATGATGGACGTATCGTTATATGGTTCCCCAAGTGTAAGTTGGACTTCTGAACACATTAGAGAAATTAATGATAACATCAAAAAAGCTTTTAAAATAATATTCACTTTATATGCTGAGTAGTGTGTCAGGCACCAGGAATTTGACTGAGTGATGCATAGGTACGATTGGAGGGCTCATTCCCTCCATTGGGAACCTAACATCCATTTTGAGGTACTTGCCTCTCAGCCAAAACCTCTAAGAATATGGCAGAAAAGACATTTTAAACTCTTGATCTATTGTTGTATTAACTCCTTATCATGCTCTCTATTTTATAGTCTTTGAGATACAATTTTTCTCATTGATGCCTCATTTTGCCTTTTGGGAGCATGCTCTGTGCTAACTATATCTTTTATGATGTTGAATCAAAATTTTTCATGTTTGGCATGACCAAGGATTGGAGCGGTTGGAACCTTTAAGAAGAAGTTGAGTGTGAAACAGGGAGAAACAAATAAAAGAGTGCACATAGACTTGCCTGTAGGATAAAAGATAGGGTATTCTCGGACTTTGTGACCCATTTTATAAATTGGAACGAGGGGTTATGAGAGTAAAGGGGAGAGATATCTCCTTACAAAGTGGGGATAGCAAAGAGTAAAAAAGTATTGAATATATAATATAAACTCCGTACTTATAGATGATAGAGGATCAAACAGGTTAAAAACTACATATCTTCCCCTACTTTAATAGGGATGTTTTAGTACTTTATTGAATTTATTAATGCATTTTTGTATTTCTAACTTATTTTAGTATCCTTTAATGAGTCTAGACCTTTCGGTCGGTAGTTCTTCTGGTTGGTCAACTAAGCTAGTGCCAGCTTGCTATTTTGCTTGAATCTAGATTGGCCTTTGCTCTATGAAGTCTGTCGGATTTCAAAGATGGTGTCGGTTGGAATTAGGATGGTCGGTCTTTCTACTTGTTCATTGATTATTTTTGATATTTTAGAGATTTTTCGGGGCATTCTTAGCGTCAATGTATATTTCTAGCTGATTGGTCGCCAACATTCTGTCAGCTGGTTGTTGGTTGTCTGGCGACTTTCTCTACCAGTCTTCATTGTGAGTACATGCAGCATTTCATTGACAGGATGTTCCCCGATTTGTCTTTTTTAATATAGACTGTCATGTTCTCTCGAGAATCGTGCAAATCATTTCTGGCTGTACATCTGGATAATTCATTGGTTACTAAAGAGATTCCAATGTTTATAACCTAATTAATGCTTAACTTTTTTTGTTCTATCACCACTAATTATTAATATTTTATGAAAATTTGAGAGCATCAGCTCAATTTATTGAACTAAAATTTCAGCCTAAGATGAAATTATTTTGCTGGATGATGAACGCTAAAATGCATCTCTTATCCTAAATAGAAGAGGGCTGGAGCACAATCGTGGTGATGCTCAAACTTTTTTTGCCAGTCAACCCCTCTTTTACTTCTCTTTTAGTGGATGATGAAATGTCTCTATATGGCGATAATTTCTTATGCCTTAGATACAATAAAATCGGGGCAGTCCATCGTATTGAAGAAAAGAAAGCACCCAACAAATCAAAGAAAGTACTCAGAATCCACAAAGTAAGTGAACTAAAGAGGATTCCAGTCAAACAAAAAAATTAATTTAGAAAATAAAAGTACACGAAAAATATGGATCATTAAAAATAAAATCAAAACAAGTGTGAGGATTCAATTATGGATGTGAAAGTATAGTGTAACTCCTGAGGGTATTACCAGAGATTCATTGGGAAATCCTAAGATCAGTGCATGTACAAAGAAATTATTATCAATGTAAACAATTGGTAATTGAGTTTGCCAAAAAAAGTAATATATAATAAAATATTTTCTTAATGAAAATTAGTGTCGAACTATGATCAAATGTAGGAAACTAAAAAAAATTACGAGTTCATCACTTTGACTCATATATCATCGAAAAAAAATTCATGTATAAAAATAAACCAGGGGATCGTAGAGATTCAGGTTCAGCTGCATTATGGCGTAGCCTATTTTCCCTTGGTGAGACTAGCCAGACAGTTGTTCAACAGCTTCTTAGTGAGAACCTCAGACAATCTGAAATGGAGCTGATTATTGATACGAGATAACCCAATTGTTCAACAGCTTCTTAGTGAGAACCACCCACAAGGACTCTTTTGGGAGGTGACACTAAGATATAATAATAATGGGGCAGTCCATCGCATTGAATGAAAAGAAAGCACCCAACAAATCAAAAATAGTAATGAGAATCAGGCTGCACAAAAAAGTGAAATAAACAGGATTCTAGTCGAACAACAAAATAAACTAGAAAATACTAGTACATGAAAAATGCGGATCATTAAAAAAAAATTAAAAACAAGTACGAGGATTCAAATATGGTTGTGATAGTATAGTATAACTCCTACGAGTATTATCGGAGATTCATTGAGATATCCTAAGATCGGCACAAGTACCCAGATATTATTATCAATGTAATTAAGTGGCCACTGAGTTTTCAAAGAAAATTAATAAATAAGAAAATATTTTCTTGTTGAAAATCACTACCGAACTACGATCTAAAGTTGGAAATGAAAATATTTTAGGAGCTCATCATTCTAACTCATAGATTATGGAAAAAACAGATCATTTAAAATAATAATAATAAGTAGAACTACATCAACAAGTCTTTGTTAAAAAATCTCTTAAAACATGCCAGGAGATGAATAAAATGACAGTGGATGAGGATAATAATAATGACAAAAAAGAAGAATGCGATTGAATCCAAATATCTCTTGTAGATCACACCAAGGTATAGAGCCTAGGATGGACAAGTGAAACAAAGAGAGGGATAAAGATGAGGATTGATAGAGAGAATGCATAGTAACACAAGGCTCTTGATAGAATAAATTCAGTAGCCCTTCAATGTACCTATTTTAATACGAAAGCTTACAAGTCATTATGAAGCCTTTTCACATTTGTAACTAAATTTGACACCTTTCGCATTCGTAACTAACATTAGCTCCATTTTATATTTATAATTGCTTAAAGAGAGGCATCTAAGGAACCAATAATCATGTTATATGATTGGTTGGTAGCATTTAGGCGGCCGAAAGATATTCAGTCGACTGAAAGTTCATTGGTCAGCCCTCTCAATAGAATCCTGATTAGTGGTAGGGAAAACTTTGACCATTAATCAAAGGGCGTATCACTGTAGTTTATAGAGTGACTCTGCTTGGAAAAGGGGCCTTTTCAAAGGATCATAAAGGCATTCTGTGGGGTGTCAATGCCCTTTAGCCACCTTTAGGAGGGGTTTTGGAACTGGCTGATGGAGGTAGTCATGAATGACTATGCTCAAGATTTGGTGTCTTTTAGCTCTTTGTTCACCTGTGCTTCTGTTTGTTTGACTTAGAATTTCGACCGAATGAAATGATGTTTGAGGTTTCCGTCTTTTGACAATCTTAATGCAATGTCCTTTGGTGTTTATAAGTGAGATAAGTTGGATTTTCTGAGATTCATGCATAAATAAGTACCTTTTAATAATTAAACTTTCTAAATTTTTGTTCCCATAGTCCTTATAAATAGAGAATGATCAAAACATCTCCATTGCCTTTTTTGCATTTGCCACCCTTCAGTTTGTTGTTAGCATAAGAGGTATACTCATAGCGAGTAGCAAGAAGTCTTCTAATGGCGTGATAAATAAGCCAGCCATGATGAAAGCCTTCAGGATTTAAACTAGAAAATTCATCCCTCCCATGTATGCTAGTGAAAAAGAAAGTTGGAGAGAAGTCAGATCATAGTGAAGAAGAAATTGGGGAATGTGGGGCTGGCATACAATAGTAAAGTTGTTAGAGGGAAGAGATCAACC